CGGCTGGGTTTTAAATCAAATCATCCTCCGACTCAATGTCCGGTTTCAGTTTATTTGTGATGCTGCTTATTACGGTTGCATATGGTTCATGCTCCTATATGCCTAACAATTGTGTGCGTGGAGGTATGGGCTTCCTTTAAACGGTCTGCAGTTCTTAGCTACTGATCCTAGCCAGGTTCAGGCGCAGTTAGCTCCACTTGATTATATTGCGATCATGTCTGATTGAACCAACTTTATTGATGTCACAGATAGGGGCTATCGACACCTGACGGGAGATCTTTCCTGCCTTCACAGCGTTAATGGACTGTGCGGTCAGCCCAGTGTGTATTTGTATTGAATGGCTGACTGAGAGTCAGGCTGCGCTGGCTCCTTCTTAATGTGGTTTTTGTGGCGCCCGCACTACCTGGGATCCGAGCGAAGTGTGGCGGCATGCTTAGGGGTGGCTGCGGCCGCGCCAGCTATCCGCTTCCTCTCCTGCTTCCGGTCTTCTCGATTTGCTCACGACACCGGGTCCGGATGTGAAGGGGAGAGTCAGTGGTAGATGCAAAGCAAGTCCACTACCACTTTAAACTAGTACACGCGTAAATCATCGCGTTTGCCTTCAGCCTGCTGAAGTACCCGGTAGACATAATCGAACTCGACGGTTTGACTTTCAAATTGTATCCGAGATAGATCTATAGCGCCAGCTGCTTTACGTTTGTACTGCAATCTTCAAGCAGTGTGCATGGCAATACATAAAACATAGACGGCTCTAAGTATCTGGACACTCGTGTGTCCGAGCTGGTCTGACGACTGGACTGCATTTCGACGCGCCTGAGGTAGGGTGAACGTTTGAGATAACTGAAAGCCTAATACAGTAGTCGCCGGCTATTAAGCTCACTTGGGCCCAGACCAAATTGGGCTTAATAAGCGGCTGGGCTTATTAACCGTGGGCTTAATAGCCGGCGACTACTGTATTACACAACCTTATCCACTGCAAAGTTCATAATTTCATTCTCCGAACTAAACGCTTTGTCGTTCTTCTAATTCCTTCCTCAGGCCTCCTCCTACAGCAGCATGACTGATTCCACCATGTCCCTGAATATAGTTACCGTGACGCTAAACATGGACACGGTGAACTTCTTGGGCATCTCCATTGTCGGCCAGTCGAACCGGGCTGGTGATGGGGGTATCTACGTGGGGTCCATCATGCGTGGTGGCGCAGTTGCCCAGGACGGCCGCATTGAGCCTGGAGATATGCTGCTTGAAGTCAACGGTATCTCCTTCGAGGACATGAGCAACGATGATGCTGTGCGTGTGCTGCGAGAGCAAGTCCAAAAACCCGGGTAAAATACCGTTCCATGCAGCCCTCCTCCGCCCTATTTTTCCCATGCCTGTTATCTGTTAAAACGTAATAGG